ATAAATAGACACATTTAAAATGTATAACATGTTCAGTGAACATAGTTTAACAAATGTAAGTTTTACCACAAGAAAGAGAGTGTAGTTTTCATACACTGTAATGCATTGCTCAATCAAAGCCCTGGACCCTGTTTTGCACACAACTTATTCCCTATAAGCTGTGGCGTAACCTGAACTTTGTGGAACTTTCTGACTTTTCTTGGATGCAAATTCACCCTTGACTCCTCACCAAGGGCTGTTTTTCAATAGTGAAAGTTGTGAAGTTGAAAAAAATAACTCAGTGTAGGACAAAAAAAGCTTTGTTATGTCTATTGGAAATTAAACAGCGTGTATGTTTTTCTACGTGTCACTAATCAGTATTTTTAATTATATATTTATTTTTTTAAATAATGGATCAAATCCCTTTATAATGTGAAAGGAGTTGATCCCAGTCAGCGATCCACACAGAATTCTGCAGTTGTCCACAGCTCTGCAGAATGTTGTAGCCATTTTTAACTAACTGTTTTGGCTTTCACAGCTGACAGCTGAAACTGAATAAGTTTGAACTCTATGAATCAGAAAAAACTTACATGGGGATACATGTTGGATATGAGCTTCTTTCAAGAGAAACAAGCCTTTTTTTTGGTTTGTTTGGGGTTTTTTTGTCAGTGAGGTGAATGATTTTACCTGATTAATTTCTTAAAATAATTGTCCAGTTTTCAAAAAGTTTAGAAAACGCAAAAAATTTTGAAAATAAAATGAGCACTGTAAATGATTCAAGACAACAAGCTTCACATATAAAGTTCCTTGATTCTGTGTACTTGTCTGTCTGCAACTAAGTCTCTAACGTGCAATATTCTGGTTGAGAGATGTATGCTTACCACGAAGTCACAATTTCCAGTTTAGCCACCATTATCTATTATAGTGTCCATCATTAGAAACAGAAATTCTAACATTCATGCATCACCTGATGATATTATCTAATTACTGTTTTGTTTTGTTTTCAAAGAAAAAAAAATAACGTGGACAGGTCCAAACTTAGAAATCAGATATTACACACCACATAAGTCAAAGGATTTAAAATTTGTATTTACCACTTTTTTTCTGGCTAAACAAAAGCCTAAAAGTTGCTAAATAAGGCAAGGAAAGGGACTTACTTTCAAATCTTTCTTTGGTTGTTGACTGAACCCCTAAAAACTCATCTGATTGTATTAAAGTCACATATTTAATACAAGCTTCATTCATGTAAATAATCCCTTCCTGCCTTAGAATGACTTGTGGATATAACTGTACAGCATTGATTCTACAATGCGGATATCTGCATAGTCCCTGACTCTCTCTCCACTTACTGCAGCTTGAGCACACCAGCTCACCTACGACTCTGCTCAGACACTGTAAAGCTACTCTACACTACATAATGGTAAGATCTTATATTATTACTAGCATTTGGCAGTATAAGTTCAAAGCCAGAAACCAATTCAGGCAAAAGATCGTGATACAAAAAGTCCAACCCAGTCATCAGGATTTTTTCCTCAGGTTTGTTAGTTGTGAGACCATGCTGAGGCTCTCATCAGTACATTGCAGTTTCAAGGTGGAACTCAGACTGGTGTTGACTACTTTTCGCTCATGTCTTCATCAAACCAGATGGACAAATCTAATTAAGTTACGTATTTGCATAATCAACATGAGATTATCCGTTCTGTAGTGGATTTTGGTTTTTAATCTATAAACAAGATTATCCTATTTACTGGGAAATTACAGTGCAAAAAACTCGGCTCAATATTGGATTTGTATTGAACAAATCATGCGGAACAAGACTCCAACTGAATTCTAATGTTGCTCTGTGTGGGGTTTATGGGTAAACAGGCAAAATGTAGCTAACATGTTAGCTGTATCAACTTCACAAGGCTAAATATGTCCCAACTGCTTGATATAATCTTGTGCCTGCAAGTGGACAAAAAAACCTAATTATAATGTTTGAAGCAGATTTAGTATTGTGCACACTTTAAGGTCTAAATGGCACATGTTTGAGAGCAGATGCTTTTTAAATACTGCAATGAAGGCTTTAAACTATGTTTGCACGGTCGTTCTTACCTTCGGAGCAGTCCTCTCCAATGAAGCCTTCGTCACAGACACACATTCCGTTCTCACAGCGGCCCTGGTTCTGGCAGTCTCCTGGGCAGGTCAGTATGGAGCAGTCCGAACCAGTGAAACCCTCATAACACACGCAGTTGCCATCAACGCAGTAACCTCTGTCTAGACAGTTCTTTGGACATGTCTTTTCGCTGCAGTCTTCACCGGTGAAACCCTTATGACAGACGCACTGTCCGTTGACACAGTGGCCGCGGTCCAGGCAGTCATTGGGGCAGGTCAGCTCGCCGCAGTCTTTCCCTGTAAACCCAGCAAAACACACGCACTTGCCATCCACACACTCTCCACGTCCCATGCAGTCTTTGGGACAGGTCTTAATGCTGCAGTCCTCCCCTGCGAAACCTTTGTCACATATGCACTGCCCGTTAACACAGCGTCCACGGTCTTGGCAATTGTTAGGGCAGGAGAGCTCACTGCAGTCTTCACCCTGGTATCCTACGTCACATACACACTCTCCGTTGACACACTGGCCCCTGTTGCTGCAGTTGTCAGGACACGAGAGGATGGAGCAATCTTCACCTTCAAATCCTGGATCACAGATGCATTTACCGTTAAAGCAGTGGCCTCTCTCATTGCAGTTTTTGGGACAGGTGAGTTTTGAGCAGTCCTCTCCACTGTAGCCAGTCTGACACACACACTGGCCATTCATACACATGCCACGGTTATTGCAGTTGCCGGGACAACTGAGCTCGCCACAGTCCTCCCCAGTGAAGCCGTCTTCGCAGTAGCAGGTACCGTTGATGCAGCGTCCTCGGTCGTAGCAGTCGTTAGGACAGATGAGTTCAGAGCAGTCGAAGCCCGTCCAGGGATGGTCACAAACACACTCATCCTCCTCACAGCGCCCACGGCCCAAGCAGTTGTTGAGGCAGTTGGTCTGGGAGCAGTCCTCGCCTATGAAGCCCTCTTCGCAGAGGCAGGACCCTTCGACACAGTTGCCATAGTCACCACAGTCTAGCAGGCAGATCTCAATACCGCAGTCGTCCCCACCGAAGCCCTCAAAGCATTCACATTTTCCATCCACACAGCGGCCCTGGTCCTGGCAGTCGTTTGGACACTCAGGCTCGGTACAGTTGGGGCCTCTCCATCCAGATTCACATACACAGCTGCAGGTCTCAGTGCTCCAGTTCCCACGTCCATTACAGTAGGGCTTTGTGGATACTTCACCTGGAGGAACGCAAACAAGGTAAAGATCATTTTTCTGGTTGCATTAGACAGCCTGGTATCAAAAGACACCAGAAGACCAACAGTCTCTTCAAACACAGGTAAGACTGAGATTTTAATGAGACAGATTGTTGCAAACCAGGTGAATTCCTATTTGTTTGTGGAGACTGAACATTTTTCTACCTATTCTAGCTGCACTTTGTGAAAATGATTGATTTATTTAATTTTACTCACAGGACTAGTCCAGTGATCGTACATGTTGTAGCCTATTCAATACAAATGGATTTACAGCCACCTTTTTTCCACAAGTATAAAAGACAAATCCTGACTTGTGGCCTTTGGGTTCAGGACAAACTCTGAAAATGTACTTGAAGGGGACTTGATTTTTTTGGACAGCGTGATTGTAGACATCAGCTGGTAAAAATGATTATTCATTAGTTATTTACTATTATTTGGATGCCAATGTAGAGACAGAAAACACAAGGAGGGATATGACATACAAATCAGCATTGTGAAAAGATAATGAAATTGGTTGCATTAAATAGGTTCAATAGTTAATGTTGAATTTGATGTAATAAGTGAAGAGTTTATTTGCAAAAACAGATAACTTCATTTTTGTAGATTTTCAGAAAACTGATTTTTTTGTTATTTGCTTGAGCTAATATCAATCAAACTGAAGTTAAGTGGATTTGACTCAGTAGAAATTACATGACGACAGTAGAGATAACTTAAGTTTGATTCACATTGTCTCAGGCAGACGATGGAAAAGTGGGTTTTCTGAAGGTTTGTGAAGATGGAGTTATCTGTTTTTGCAAATGAGCTCTTCAATGTAGAAACAGCAAGAGTTTTTGAAAAGAACCAAACTATTTTGTCAAAAACACTATATAAGTATTCAGTAGTGTAACTGATGGTAAATAACTATGACTACACGCTTACTGGACTTAGTACTGTACACTTATTTTAAGATATTTCCATGTTTATTATCAATTTTGTAAACTTAGTGAGTAAATTTTATATGATAAATTTGATGAACTTGGAAATGGGGGTGTCTATAAGATGAAACACATGCAATTTGTATTTGACGGCCTTGAATGTGTAAAGGCTTTCAAAAAATGTTAGCTGGACCAGCTTTTAAAATTGTGCTGCATTTCTCCTATTGTTTGAAATCTGTCTTCATGTCCTTTCTACTCTGAAACACCACTTTGCTGGAAGCACTTAGGGTTTCTCTTTAGATGACTACATGCACAGTAGACAGTAAAAGGCATGGACAGTAAAAGGCGTAGACCTACCGGCAACTTGAGCTCCACAGCAGCTTGCTCCGCCGCCACACTGCTCCCTTAGACTAGACAGCTCTGACTCCAGCATCTCCAGCCTGTTCAGGATGTCTTTGATGTCTGGTAGCTGGCTGTCGCAGCCGCACGCCTGCTTGGGGATATTGATGCGGTGGGTGAAAACGATCTGATTGTCACCATCCACAGTGTGCTCCATGTGCTCGGTGTTCTGCATGTCCATTGGGGCGCTCTTGTGTTTGAGCTCGGTGCCTCCAGGTGAGTCGAGGTCCACGGAGCAGAGGGACGTGGAGGGGACATTGATGTTGTAGACGTGGTTAAACACCACTGGCTGGTCGGGGTGGGGCAGGGTGAGGTTCTCCTGGGTTTTCTTGGGCATCAGGGCCTCTCTGCGGTGGCGAATAACCTTCTTGACCAGGCCAGCGGTGGAGAGCTGGAGGAGCAGGGCCACAGTGAAGCAGCCCAAAAAGATGCCTTTCATTCCCATGATGACGCCCTGGCACTGCAGCGTCTGAGGCAGCAGCTGAGCGTGGAAGAGTCAGGTGTTAAATAGCCGCTCTTGTCTTCAGTACTGGAGCAAAAGAAAGTGCAAACAGAAGGAAAAAAATGAGGATAATGCATTCATTTTAAACCAAGGAATGATTTTCTGGGCACATATCTTTGTCACATAATAGAAAATGGCTACATGCAGCACAGCAGTCCACACTGAACCCTGTTGGATGTTCACTTTTCTTGTTTGCCCTTGCCACTGTGGGTAGATTCAACAACATAGTCCCATCACACACACATACATCCACACCAGGGACCACAGCTAGAGTGAAATATGATAGTACCCAACTAAAAAGCAATTAACCTTCTTCTGTTGCCCTAACAAAAGACCACCTCCAATCCTGTTGCTGCTTCTGAACCATTTTAGCCCCTCTGCTCTCAGTGGAGGAGACACACACTTAGTGGATGTCACTGAGGCATTCTTCACAATTCCTGTGAGGACCAAGAGCAGCAATTACTGCGGGGGCGGTGTATGACCTTGGGGATCTATGTGAAATGTTCTTTTTCTGACTGCGTTAAGACAGGTTACCATGACACAAACAGCCCCGGCAACACCTGCATGGTGGGGAGCCTCCTCTTTTCTCTGCAGCCCAGACCACAACCCAAGCTGACAGATTAATACCAGTGTGTGGTTAAACCATCTGTGGGCTTCCTGTAAAAGCACAGAGGGTCTGCGCACACTTCCCTTCTGTATCCACAAACAGGCAGGTCAGCAGTTCTGGACTGCTCTCCTGACAGCCACTGGATTTTCTTTTAAGTTTTGCAACAGGATTCTTACAGCCTTCACTGTGTGAGACAGGATTCTTTTAAAAGGTCTGCTTGGAAAATGTGCTGAGGTTGTAGCATTAAAGCCAACCATAAAACTTGATGTGTCTTGTTGCTGTTTGATCTTGTTTAGATATACAGGTTGGTTAAAGGTGTGTCCTTGCTGTGTCTAAGTATGTGACATCTATGAGGACTGATTCTTAAAGTGTTTCTCTTGGTTCTTGTTTCTCAGAAATACGATGGCGGACATAAAGTTACATTCTTTGCCTGTCAGCACTGGAGCCAAAAGGCGGGAAAAAAAAGTGCGAGGACAGATTCTGCGTAGAGCTAGACTTTTCTTTTTTTTTTTCTTCTTAAAGTGTCTGGCTCAGTCTGAGTTTATATAATTGCACTTTTTACCCCACCTTGTCAGAAATGCTGACTCTGGTCATTTCCTACCTCTCATAAAAGTCTTGTCTGACTTGGCTGCTGTAAAGGTTAACAGCAGCTGTTAGCAGCCAACATGAAAATGTCTGGACAAGCAGACATAAAAATGCATGATCGCAGGTGTATATATTCCAAGCCTGTGGTGGAATATGCATGAAGGCGTTTAAATGTCTCTGCTACACCTGACTTAGTGATGTGGGATTTTTGCTGGCCACTGCCACATGCGCAGGCTCAAAGTCAGCAGGTAACATTCCATGAAGAGATGCTTGGTTTCTTCATCCCGGCCTGACGTGTGATTAGGCAAACTGACAGATGAGCTCAGCTTGGAGGTATCCCACGGCTTCACCCCTCCCTCCCCAGCCCCCTGATTAGACTGGCAGGGATGAGCGCCTCCATGATGGGTAGACTGTAAAAGTGCTAATGTATCTTGCTGATGGGAGCGCTGAGGATCTGGGCCCTCAGGGGTCCAAAGAAGCCTCCCCCCCCTCCACCACCACCCTCCTGTCTCACACTATGTCGCATGTACATGCACGTCCGCACACACACACACCACTACAGTCACAGTGCTGCACCCAAGCATCACAAACTAGGGATTAAATCAACAAAATAGCCAGAAAATTGCTTTTAGTTGCTGCTAAGGTTTTAGTTCTGGGCGGATGGTTGGCTTTCTCACTTTGAAGGCTGGCTGCTCTCCACATGGACCTCTGAGCAAAACCAACCCTAAGAGACCAAAGCGGGCTTTGTGTGAGAATCTGTGGCTCTGGCAAAACTCAGCTTTACACAGAAATAGATATACAGAAGAAAGTTTCACAGACTCCTAGAAATATTCTGATTTGATCTTTTCTCCTCTTAGCTGCCATCCACTGCTCTTTAATATGAAGCAGAACAATCACAATCAGAGAATGTGAGAGTGACCCTGAGAAACACAGAGCTGATCCCTGTGTTTGGACTTCCTTCATGGGCACCCTGTGGCCCTGGCACTATGCTAATGCAGCTGGTTGCTGGCACTATAGACATGGACTTGATACAATCTGACTGCTGCTGCTTTGTTATTCCCTCACTTGGTTTTACTCTATAGTTAGCTTCTCAAACAGCAACAAAGCTTGTTGCCCGCCTTGTGGTTGAATGTGAGAAGAATTTTACCAGGGGAGACCTGCTGGCACACACGCATTTGGTGCAACTGATCTAAATTACTCTGTTGTGAGTAAGTGTTAGGGAAACACTTGAAGTTTTATACCTCACACAGTGGAGAGCTGGAAATGCTTTAGTTGGGGTCCGCTTCAAAAGTGATTAGGTCTGTCGCTGAACTAATTTTATTATATTGTTGTTTCAGGATTAATGTGAATAGGTGCACCAGTCAGACACACAGTCCAACACCACTAACACTCAATGCAATATGGTTTTCAAGGGTCACTAATAGAAGAACACCAACAAGTCAACAAATATAAATGAAATTTATAAAAAATAATCCAACAGTTTTCTATCCTCTTAATGTCTTCATCAAGAAGTAGATTTCTCTCTCTTATCACCATCTTAAAAGTAAAATATGTCACAGGCTAACATAACAAACACCCTATGTGCTCATAGAGCTGGAGATATGTCCAGTAGCTATTTATCCTTGTTTTGGTGCACTTGGAGTTCCCGTTGCAGTTTTTAGATGGAAGCAGAAAGGTTGAAAGGTTAGACTATGGGGCCATTCCTGTAAATATTCATGCCATCTCACGCCATGTCCAAGTTCATGCAGTGAAAAGCAAAAACACAATATTGTTAAACAACGGAGACAAAGTGCCAAAAAAGTTGTATGTGAAGTAGGGATAAATGTCAGAATGTCGGTTTTGGAAATTTACAAGACATCTCAAGTATACCAAGGCAGGATTGATATCTTTTCTGAACTGCTTGTCGGATGGTTGGATATCCTCAAAAACCCACCTCCAATACACGTTTTCATAAACTATCCAACTACTCAACATGCAATTCAGGCAAGCTGTTAATCCTGTTTTAATACCTTTAAAAGACCTGTGGAAATCTTTGAGTGTCGCCTGGACAGCCTCAAGAGAAAAACACACCATTTTAAGAGTGTGGCTGAATGACCAATGGTATTTTTCTCTCTGGGGAAGATGCTCTAATTAACCCATTTAACGTTAACAGCATCATATCAAAAGGGTCTCAAAAATTCAACTCTCAGGAGTGTCTCTTGACATCCCTGCAACTCCAATCAGATGAAGCATCAGTAACTCCAGGTATGTTTTCCAGCATGTCCCCAGATGTTTTTTCTTTTCTTTCCCGCCACGTTGTCTAGGTCTAGAACCATAATCCTTGTGTAAATCGAGAGACTGCATTTATTTCACACAAAGGAGGACCAAGAGGATCAAGATAAGACTGAAACCAGGACAGACCAGTTATCACAAATCCCCTATAAGCAACTGGACACCCCCCACCCCAACATGGCACGCAAAGATCTGTCGTATTATAGTGGTCAAGCTTGTTTCTATTTGGACGCTACTGTTTCAATGAAAATAAATACCTCCTGGTTGGATGATGACATTACCAGTGTGATCCTTTCTTCCTGCTGTGTACTCCCTCCTATCTTTTAGACACAAGTTTTAATTTCAGTTTGTGAAAAGATTGATGAGCAGACTTTTCTGTCTTCTTCCGACAGACATCTTACGCAGAAGCCAGAACTTTCAAAGTCAGCCAGGGCCCCATGCTGACGAACTTAATCGTCTGTGTAGTCCACCTTTGCTGAGACCTCTACCATATGGCAGGTCCAAGATAAATCAGAACAGAAAACTATTACTTGGCAAGCATTCAGCGGCGGTTATCTGTATACTCCTTCTGAAGAGAAAATGCAATTTGTTTTGGCACAAAGAAAAAGCAAGTGTTATCAGTCTGTGCAATGTGTGGCAGGGTTTTTATAAGGCAGAACAACACAGAAGTGCAGCGGATGCTTTTTAAAGAAGGAAAAGAAAGATGCACTAACTATCAGTAGATAATGGCAGCAACGTGAACAGACAGCGCAGCATCCGTCTGATAACTCGACAACAAACAAACTGAATAATGAAGCAGCGTGCCCCACTTGGTGTGTAAAAGCTTTAAATATTCAATGACTACAACTACAACTCAAGTCCCAGGACTGTATGTTAAACAGGTCTGATAGGATGCACATGCTTTCTTTTCATTTCTGAAGTATTTATCAAGCTTGCCTAGTTTTGTAGGTCAGCCATGACAAAAACTCAGCTTGCCTTCTTTGGTACAGAATCCAAATGTGGGTCGCTGGTATAAGGACTGAATGAGGGGTTATTGTCTGGGGTTCTTTTCACCTTGAGATACTGTCACACTGTAACGGGGGGAAATGAGCGGGAAATGGGCCCCAGCCACGGATACTCACTGCCATGTCAGGAATCATAAAATAAACTTTTTTTTCCTCTTATCCTGCCTATCTTTAAGGGTACTTTCTCATTCCAAAGAAATCCACCATCTGCTGATAAACATATTTATCACAATCAACTTGCCTTCAAGGTGGAAGAAAGCTCCCATATACCGCATGTCCTGCAGGTGAGTATTGATTTGAATCCTGTATCTCCACCAAGGTCATAGCCAGAGAGATTGCAAGTTGCTGAGGACAGCACTCTGGCTGTGAGTTATAATCATCAAACACAGAAATGAATTTCCAGGAAGAGGCATAGCTTGAGTCGACTGCTTGATGCACGATCGATGATACGGTTGTTGCTGCTGCTCCGGAAAGGTTTTTTTGAATTTTATCACCTCACGCTCTGGAAGACACACGCCGTCTTTCTCTTTCTTCCTTTTTATGACCGACACAGCCATTGC